TGCAGCCATTCGATGGGACACTTTGCAGAGCTGTGAAGTCCTCTCTGGGTCTCAGCAGAACCATTGCGAGGACCTCCCTGGGCTCGCTTTGTGAAACATCCCTCTGAATAATTTGCACAGCTTTGCACACCCCTGGCCATTATCTCATCTTCAGGGCTCCCAATTCCGTACTTGGGTATATATGTGCACTGTGTGCTTCTCTTCACTCTAGTGGCATTCAGTTTCAAGAGATGACTCTAGGTTTTCCTATAAGTGAGGGGGAAAAATCTCAGTTTATTTCTTCTTTCACACCATACATAACTTTATAAATCTGTTCATGCCTCTTCTGACTAAACCTTACAGTAGTTGCATTTTTTCTGTAGTCTCAGTTACACTGGCAAGATAATGTTGGAGTGGTTTCCTAGAGCAAGAACATTTCCTGAGCAAGAACATTTCCTCCATACGTAAGGCCTGCAGTGTTCTTTCTTAATCCCCTTTCCTCCCTTCTTTTCTCTTTCAGAAATCACAGCACAAACGGAAGCCTGTGAGATTAGACAAGACTGGAAACCCTCATTTCTTAGCAATGAGGAGTTTACTCAGTTGATGTTAGAGGTAAGGCTATGCTGTATAAATGTGTGGGTGAGAAAGTGATTTGTAACAGGAGAAGGTTGCCAAACTTTGCTAAGAAATATTTCTTGCCATTGGTTAAAAAAGAAAACTGAAACACCCCAGATACTTCCTGAGAACCAGAGTGATATCCTGGTCAAGAAGCTCCATGGATTACTTTGGGCCAGTTGCTCTCCTTCAGCCTAAGCCACCCCACATGGCTCTTACTGTAAAACGAGGCGAGGTCTCTGTCTGTGTTACCATGAGCTACTGGAGGAAAGATGGGCTATAAATCTAAGAAACCAATTCCTTGCTTCTGATGTATAAAATGCTCCCTGGCCATTGCCACCTGGTTTGAATGCCAGGTCTTGCCTGACGCCGCATGTAACATGCCAACAGCATTATATTTGGGGTGGCTAGTTCCAGCTGTGTTGTTCAGTCATTCTGATGTAAATAGACCAAGATTTGTGGTTGGTGCTGGGCAGACACCACTTGGTGGAAGACTTGCAGAAGATGGTTCAGAAGGCAAAAAACTCTTCCTGTTTCCGGAAGACCCATCTGTTCTGAACGGGCATGAACATTCACCCATGCCTTGCCGTTTGCACAATTACAAATTCCCAGCTTTGTGCTGTGGGTGTTGTGTGGACTGGGAAACTGATAAATTTTGCTCTTGCAGTCCCTAAATTTGAAACATTGAGGAATTTGCTTATGTGAGTTTTAGTAGAATCTGTGATTTAACTGGTTGTCCTTGCTACCGTTCCTTAGTGAAATCCGTAATCCACACATGTAGACAGAAGAATATTTACTATATCCTGTTTGCTGCATCCTTTTTCCGGCAAACAAGGCATTTCACTGCATTTTAAAGCAAGCTCTTTCATCTTTTCTGGAGTATTTTCTGCTTCTTTTCCAGCACCAGTATTTAGCCTTAGCCTAGAACTGCTGCAGCTTGACTGTTTCCTCCTCATAGAGATCCAGTGACTCACCTTCTTTAGAAACATTTGTTTATCTCCATCTACAAATGTCTCTTGATGAAGTTGCAGTTTAATCAGATCAAACTTCTGCCTGAGAGAAGACAAATTCTTTACAGGTTTCCCTCGCAGGTGGTTATTTCAAAAATGTCTTGGCCTGGCGATTCTTTTGGTGATTCATGTTTCCTGTCCTTTCAACAATCAACAGTTTCCATCTCTGGTTTAGGATCAAGGGAGATAAAGGAGCAGAAAGAAAGGGAGATTAGAAAGAAAGGGAAAGCTAATTCTTTTGGCTCCCTGCTGCCTAGCAGATGTATATTTCATTCTCAAACCACATCCCATTTGCATTAGACTGCCATCCAGATATGGATTGAGAAAAAAATAAGCATTAACTCAGAGTACTGTAAGGGAAACTGAAACCTTGAACAACATCAGTTCCTAAATTTTCTGCTTTGTGGTTCCAAGGGGTTAAGCAAATACTTTTTTTTTCCCTAAAGAGGCAGCAGTTTTCTAAAGAGGCAGTTTGTCTAGTGGTTAAGGCTCCAGGCTAGAAAACAGGAGACGGTGAGTTCTAGTCCCACCTTAGGTATGAAAGTCAGATGGGTGAATTTGGGCCAGTCCCTCTCTCTCAACCCAACTCACCTCACAGGGTTGTTGTTGTGGGGAAAGTAGGAGGAAGAAGGAGTATTTAGTATGTTCTCTGCCTTGAGTTATTTATCAAAAATAATAAAGGCGGGATAAAAAAATCTAAAATTCTAAAGAGAAATGGAGAGATGCTGATAACTTGTTCTTCTTTCAAGAAGTTATCCAGCTATCAAAGGAACACTCATGTCATTGAGAAGGACCAATTTCTTCCAATCGTACAACTTCTGGCTTGGGTTTTAGAGAGGTATTTGACATAGAAGAATTCTCTTAAGCTGTATGTTCCCCTAAATATGCTGAGCTGTGCTGAGCTTGGTGGGAATTCGTTCTGAGTAAACTTGCATGAGATTGGCACTGCTCTGCAAAATGGAGCTTTATTTACAATGAAGTTAAGAGCCCTTCCACCAATGGATCAAGCAAAGATGACAGTGCATGAATTATAATATTATACCCAATGACTATGTCTCCAAGCATCTTGTTATCCATATTTTCCCAAAATATTTGTCCAAAAGAGTGATCAACAATATATGTTGGGTGCAGATACTCTCAGGAGAATCTGGTCTCTCTATCTGTCTGTCTATCTATCCATCCATATGTCTGTCTGTCTGTCTGTCTATCGGTCTATCTGTCTGTCTGTCTATCTATCCATTCGTGTGTCCGTGTGTCCGTCTGTCTATCTAGGCCAGCCTGAGACAGAACGCAAATGGTGTTATCTTCCCCAAATCAAGCCAGCCAAGTTCTTTTGTCACATGGCCCAGAAAAATAACACAAATCCTCTGTTGGTAAAAATATAATCACAACAAATAATTTTGCTGCTCTTTCTGGATAATCCAAATCTGCTTCTTCTTCTCCTGCTTAACAGGTGTTAATACTTAATGCTGAGTTCACATGTCAACTTGGTATCTTGAGCAAAATTGAGTTTCATAAATTCCACTGATAATTTAACTTTGAAATAAATACCCTTGAGGTTAGTATATATGCTGTTTGTTCCTAAATTATGCCTTTTCCCCCCCTGTAGGCATTAGATGGGTTTCTCATTGCACTAACCACTGATGGCATTATTATTTATGTATCTGATAGCGTCTCTTCTCTTCTTGGACATTTACCGGTGAGTTCTAATCACACAGTATCTGAACATCACTTTGCTGTCCAAAGAAATATTGATATGGATGGTACACTAAGTTACAGACAGTAAAATTCTTTCAAAGACTGGAATAAAACTTAACACAATTGTTGTTGCAAAGGGGTGATGCATTTTTTTGGTCCTGTAAATTGCTGGGCTTTCAAGAATCGCTAGAAAAATATGAAACCAAAGACTACAGCAGGATAGAATAAAATATGCATTTTAGTCAATAACAGAGACATCATCATCATCATCATCATTATCATCATCATGCCTCTGTTAATGATTAAAATAAATAATAAACAATTATTGTTGTTTATTAAACTCTCAATGATTCTGGGCTGTCAGGTCTTCGAATAAGTTATCATCAATCACTACGTGAGATGGGTGGCTATATAAATGTGATAGATAGATAGATAGATAGATAGATAGATAGATAGATAGATAGATAGATA